CTTTGTCATGTAAACAGTCAGTTCTGAAGGTATCCGCCGGCCCCCACACATGATAGTTCCTCCCCCAACATGTTCGTTTTTGTTCGAATTTAGGTTGGGTATGATAAAGACACCTTTAAGGAAGGTGAAACCTCGGATCTGAGCATCATGGGGACAGTGTGGGGGGCACTCAGGGGATTAATATTGGCGTATCTCAACACTTCCATAATGGTGGCCTGTTCGTTGGGAAGGTTCGTCTAGTCTTTCATGGACGACTGTCTACTCTGGCCTGCGTTTTCCACGGATTTCTTGGCAGCACTTCTCTTGTACACCCAGGTAGATCAGCATGCAGCGTATTGTGTTGGCAATTTGTTTCTAGTCAGTGAATAGATATGTCATTGAGGCATTCTCAAATTTCGTGCATATTTCATTTAGGTACAAATTGTAAGTTTTGTTTGCTTGCTTTACCATGACATGTTGTTGACTACGGTCATAGTATTCTGAATGTACAAAACATACATTATGTAAGCTTAACGACATTTCATTTTTCATATTTTATCCTTCTAATTAGAAATTTCATGAAATTGCGTCACTACCGGTATGAAATTTGTAAAGTCATTTTGAAAAGAAAATATGAAACAAAGATGAAATCATTTAATGTATATATATTAAAATATCTAGTTTTTCAATATGACATGGCTAATTAGTTTTGAAATGTTATATGCATTGCTTAAAATGGCCAACAAGCCAACAATTCCTTTCATTTCTGATTTGCAAATGTAAAGTAATACACATTGGCTACAAGTAATCTCCAGTTCTTTGGCTCTTTATGCAACACTAGTTGTGATAATCTCACGAAACACATATTCTGTGCTTCCATGGCTATTCCGCGCCGAAAATCAACTATTTGTGGAGATCTTCAGTCTGTTTTGTGCAAATACAATCTTACAAAACTACTTCTACGTATTTATACTTATTTATACAGTGGTTCATTTCCCACCAAACACCAGTGGAGACGAATTGTAAACAAACAAGTACAAGAATACGAGGAACAAATGTGGCGTAACAAAGTATCACTTCATGCAGGACTGTCTCCTTACATGCGAGCTCACACATCACTGACATATCACATACTTTAGAACATTTTATAGCCTGAACACAGAACAGCCTTGCAATTATGTTTTAAAATTTCATCACGAAATAAAGTTTCAAAAGAATGTTTGCTATGTAACAAGATTATGACAACCATGTGATACTACACTGTGAAAACTTATTACCTCTCCCGAAATAACTTTTTCTCATCTCTGATTGATCTACTTGATGTTGAAACCTATGTAATTTTGAAATGTTGGAAGATCGACGAAATGTTGTCAACTCTCCAAGGTGCAGATACACAGTTCACATGATCCCTAGTGCGGGACACATACCATATTGTCAATCCAAGGTGTCAACAGTTCTCCAAGGTGCAGATACACAGTCAACTCTCCAAGGTGCAGAGTTCACGATCCCTAGTGCGATCCCTAGTGCGGGACACATACCATGTTGTCAACTCTCCAAGGTGCAGATACACAGTTCACATGATCCCTAGTGCGGGACACATACCATGTTGTCAACTCTCCAAGGTGCAGATACACAGTTCACATGATCCCTAGTGCGGGACACATACCATGTTGTCAACTCTCCAAGGTGCAGATACACAGTTCACATGATCCCTAGTGCGGGACACATACCATGTTGTCAACTCTCCAAGGTGCAGATACACAGTTCACATGATCCCTAGTGCGGGACACATACCATGTTGTCAGCTCTCCAAGGTGCAGATACACAGTTCACATGATCCCTAGTGCGGGACACATACCATGTTGTCAACTCTCCAAGGTGCAGATACACAGTTCACATGATCCCTAGTGCGGGACACATACCATGTTGTCAACTCTCCAAGGTGCAGATACACAGTTCACACGATCCCTAGTGCGGGACACATACCATGTTGTCATGCAAACGTTATTTCTTTGTTCAAAAGCATGGTGGATATACATACCAAGTTTACGAATATAAGATTGTATTATTAGAGTTCATTATCAAATTAAATTTAAACATGGTAGGATGTGAATAGTAATATTGTGGTATATATTTTGTCCCTTAAATCAGCATAGTAAGGACATACCAGCAAAAAGTGGAACTCATCTTCAATTACATTTAGTGCACAAAATTTGCACAATCTGTTTTCTCTTGGAATATTATAATATCTGCCCTTCTTGGATCATAAGATCATGTGAAGAGCATCTAAATCTGGATAATGAAACGTGGAATTTTCTAAGATTAATATCGTGTAGGTATTGCTCCGTATGGAAAAAAGATTTAAAAGTACTATGTAAAAGTGGATTTGGGATGGACAGTATTAAAGATATGTTCAAGGTCTGAATGTACATATCTTTTAATCTTGCGATAAAGCATTATAAAATGACTTTGGGCAGGTAATCTTTTGTGACAAAAATACATCACTAAAACCACAATGATTTAGTAAATTTTAACATTCGTTACCCAATTTGATTTTCCGTTGGTGTCAAAACAAATACATCATGTCATAACATTTCTTAGGAAATCTTGATGCAGGCATATTCAAGAGCTTTACCCAGTATTTGATAACTTTATCTGTGCTTCTAAATGAAGTGGGAAGCGATTGCATTCACCATAGATCATTGTCATGTAAAGACAGGTAAAATGCTTCCAGGTTGAAGACATGTTACAGCAGTGACATTGGGACGGTATATAATGTCACCACCGTAATGGCCTATCACAGCCGTGTTCTTCTTTGTCATAGCCTTTACTCTACCCTGTCCTTACCGTAACAACAAAATCATACTTATATGCTTATTGATTTTATTCATTTGATACAATTTTTTTTATGTTAAAATAAGATTCCCAAAACATTTGATATCTTTGATTTAAACATTTAGATACAAAACAAAAATCACAATGTTGGAAGAAACTCATAGAATCTAGGTTGTTTAACTCCGCATTCAGCGATATTAGTTAATGGTCGAGCCTGCACCAGACAATCCAGTGGATCAACATCACGCAATTGGGAGACGATGATCACCTGATGCTGTTAGTCGCCTCTTACGACAAGCATGGGTTACTGAAGACTAATTCCTAACACGGATCTTCACGGCTACATAGGCATTGTGTTCTTTTTTAACATTGTGATGATCCGAAGAATATTAGATTTCGGGGATAACGTTTAGTTTGAATTCCTTTGGCGAATATGATAAACCCAGTATTCCTTCCATTGGAGGCTTTTCCCCGTTCACTGGGACGAACTTGAATCTCTGAATCATGGTGGTGAGGGAAGAGGAAGAGCTCCATCCGGGACATTGACTCCCCAGGCAAACCCTTCGTCCTTGAAATATAAGAAAACAAAGGTACAGTGTCATTACTGTATGTATGTATGTGTGTGTGCGTACGTGTGTGTGTGCGTGTGTGTGTGCATGTATGTATGTACATCTGTGTGCGTGCGTGTGCGTTTGCGTGCGTGTATGTGTATGTGTATGTACATGTGGTTACCACGTCTATTGCTTACCATATCTCGAGTTTGTAGGTGACTCACCCAAAGAAAAGGGGATAAATTCCTCCCTCTTCTGAATCTTGCCTGCGTCATCGAGCGGAAACGGTCCGGCCGAAAAAGTTTTGCGGGTCTCCCCATACATCCCGTGTCTTGGAGGGACTGAATCAAGGTTCAATAGGACTGTGACGCCTTGTGGGAAGGTGAATCCCTGAACTGTACATCATGTGGAACTGTGTGAGGAATAGCAATAGGTGCAATATCAGCGTATCCTCAAGGTTTCCCTATAATGGTGGCCTCCACGTGCAAGGAAGGCTCGTCTTGTCCTTCATGGAGGGTCGTCTGCTCTGGACCCACGTTTCCCAGAATCTCTTGGAAGCACTTCTCTTGTACATCCGGGTAGTGCAGGAAGTAGACCAGCGCCCAGCGTATAGTGGTGGACGTCGTCTCCGAGCCTCCAGTAAACAGATCAGTAATAATCTGCGCCAGATTCTCCACTGCCAACACGAATGTAATCTTTAGTGTAAGTTCACGTGACAGATGTAACATGACCCATATAAAACCGGAAACATTACAATTACATGCCTACGAAATACTAGTTGAAATGTGGAAATGCATTAACAGAATCAACCATGTATATAGGTCAGTGTAGATTCAGTGTAGATTCTAAAGGAAAGTTCAGCGTTCAATTTAAGAGATGTTCACAAAACCAACTATACGTTTTGACAAATATAATTCTTAAGTAAAAAACCAAAAACCAAATCAAAAGTGATGCTTAAATAACATGAGTAAAACAATATGGATTATTGAATGCAATAGCTACATATCTACACAATTCATTACATCCTTAGCAGAAATGATGTGCCAGTTATTTGTATTAAATTCTTCACGTTCAACCTATTGGACAAATCTAGAAAAAACAACCCTTTAAAAGTAAATAGCCAACGAATCTCCCTGTCGTGGAAAGGATAATGTACATTCCATGAACATCGTTAAATAACAAAACACACTTACAGTCTAACGTAGTTGTTTCTTGTTTCTGTTGGCGACGTCGCATCTCCTTCAAATATACATGGATAAAATCGTCCCGATTTTTCATCATCGTGATCGTTTAAGTGATCCTTAATGAAAGGTTTAATCAGCAGATTATCCACAATATCTATGCTGTCCATTGATTTTCTGAACTTGAATGGGTCTCCAGGCAAATATCGCACAGCAGGAAAAACGTTTAGTATTCCAGATACTGCGCTATTTTTAAAAATCATCCAATGCTTTCAGAAATTTGACGAATACATGGTCAGTATATTCAAAACGTTTACCAAAGACAACGGAACAGATGACATTTGATACGGCATTCTGCAAAAGACGCTCTATGTTGAAACCCCGTCCTTTCTCTTCCTCCAGGGCCACCATAAACTGAGCAATTTCCTCGTATTTTGTCCTCCATGATGGTTTTCCATTCCAAACTCTCGCAGAGCATTGAGAGCAAATCGTCTCTGTTCATGCCACAAGTCCCCGGAGGTTCCGACTACTCCTGTTTGGAAAAATACAGTTCAATGGAATTCAGCTGTATTTCGTGGAATAAATCTGGCAGTGTTTGTAGACATTGTAGAACAGTGTTGTGTTTGTATCAGGTTGTTTCTGTTAAGACTCAGTTTAGGACAGTGGTGACCTTGGTGCCGTTTTACAAAGCGGTCTTAGCGCTAAGGTGACCGTAACTCCCATTACCTTAACATAGACTTACGGCTAGCGTAGCGCTACGGTTGCTTTGTACAACGGCACCCTGGTTAATCTATTAAGACTGGGAGGCAATACAAGCGTGAAAGGTTCTGGGCCTTCACTGGGACGTTCAAGTGCTGGCTGAAGAATTGGAGCAATCTTTTCATGTACACAAAGCGGGTCTCAATCTGGTCCTGGTCACCTTAAATATGACGTCACATATGACGTATCACGGTTCAAGACCAGCAGATGTATGGCGATCGTTTTTCACCCTGGATACTCAGCCTTGGCCTAATTTGAAAGCTTCACCACTGTTGCAGCGATGTGAATCTTAGCATCACTATCTTTGTTGCTACAATCACTGCTAATACATTAAAGTTATATTGAATTTGTATTGCCACGCTGTTTTATACCGTCATTGTAATTAGTTCATTTTTAGAATACAATTCTTAATTCTATCACATTTTGTTCTTTCACGCTATATTCTTTGTATGTATGCATTGCCATAGGTCAGTTGTATAGTGCCACCAGGTTATGGCACGGGTCAGCTGTATAGTGCTGCTAAGGTATGCCATTGGTCGGCTGTATAATGCTGCCAAGGTATGCCATGGGTCAGCTGTATAATGCTGCCAAGGTATGCCATGGGTCAGCTGTATAGTGCAGCTAGAAAGCTATGCCATGGGTCAGCTGTATAGTGCAGCAAAGGAATACCACAGGTCAGCTGTATAGTGCAGCCAAGTTATGACATGGGTCAGCTGTTTAGTGCAGCCAAGGTATGACATGGGTGAGCTGTATAGTGCAGCCAAGGTATGCCACGGGTCAGCTGTATAGTGCAGCCAAGGTATGACATGGGTCAGCTGTTTAGTGCTGCCAAGGTATGACATGGGTCAGCTGTATAGTGCTGCCAAGGTATGACATGGGTCAGCTGTATAGTGCTATTAAGGTATGACATGGGTGAACTGTATAGTGCTACTAAGGTATGATATTGGTGAGCTGTATAGTGCAGTCAAGGTATGACATGGGTTAGCTGTATAGTGTTGCTAAGGTATGACATGGGTCAGCTGTATAGTGTTGCTAAGGAATGACATGGGTCAGCTGTATAGTGCTGCTAAGGAATGACATGGGTCAGCTGTATAGTGCTGCTGAGGAATGACATGGGTCAGCTGTATAGTGCTATTAAGGAAAGGCACGGGTCAGCTGTTTAGTGCAGCCAAGGTATGATTTGGTTCAGCTGTATAGTGCAGCCAAGGTATGACATGGGTCAGCTGTATAGTGCAGCCAAGGTATGACATGGGTGAGCTGTATAGTGCTGCTAAGGAATGACATGGGTCAGCCGTATAGTGGAGCGAAGGTATGACATGGGTCATCTGTTTAGTGCAGCCAAGGTATGACATGGGTCAGCTGTATAGTGCTGCCAAGGTATGACATGGGTCAGCTGTATAGTGCTACTAAGGTATGACATGGGTGAGCTGTATAGTGCTACTAAGGTATGACATTGGGGAGCTGTATAGAGCAGCCAAGGTATGACATGGGTCAGCTGTATAGTGTTGCTAAGGAATGACATGGGTCAGCTGTATAGTGCTGTTAAGGAAAGGCACGGGTCAGCTGTTTAGTGCAGCCAAGGTATGATTTGGTTCTGCTGTATAGTGCAGCCAAGGTATGACAAGGGTCAGCTGTATAGTGCAGCCAAGGTATGACATGGGTCAGCTGTATAGTGCTGCTAAGGTATGACGTGGGCCAACTGTACAGTACTGCCAAGGTATGGCGTGTGCCATCTGTATAGTGCAGCCAAGGTATGATATGGGCCATCTGTATAGTGCAGCCAAGGTATGATATGGGCCAGCTGTATTGTGGAGCCAAGGTATGACATGGGTCAGCTGTATAGTGCTGCTAAGGTAAGACATGACATGGGTCAGCTGTATAGTGCTGCTAAGGAATGACATGGGTCCAGCTGTATAGTGCAGCCTAGGCCTGACATTGGTCAGCTGTATAGTGCTGCTAAGGTATGACGTGGGCCAACTGTATAGTGCAGCCAAGGTATGACGTGGGCCAGCTGTATAGTGCAGCCAAGGCATGATATGGGCCAGCTGTATAGTACAGCCAAAAGGTATAACGTGGGCCAGCTGTATAGTGCTGCCAAGGCATGATATGGGCCAGCTGTATATTGCTGCAAAGGTATGACGTGGGCCAGCTGTATAGTGTAGCCAAGGCATGATATAGACCAGCTGTATAGTGCAGCCAAGGCATGATATGGGCCAGCTGTATAGTGCTGCCAAGGTATAACGTGGGCCACCTGTATAGTGCAGCCAAAGGTATGATATATTCCATCTGTATAGTGCAGCCAAAGGTATGACATGGGTTATCTGTATAGTGGGGCAGGTGTTAATTCTATACACGTGCGAAACATCTACGATAGTAGGTAAATGCATAAAGGTAACAACGGTTGTAAACATGAATGGAAACATTTTCTCGAGAGTTATTTACAATCGCCACAGTAAAGTCTATTTACAAAATAAAGAGTTATGTCCAGAACATTCCTTGTCTGTTCATGCATAATCATTTCGCATCACTAGGATAACTGATGCTAGATGTTAAACACCCTGTTTTGTCCTTTCAGGTGCCCTCTTTAAGCTTACTGCATGGACCTCGGCTTTCCCAATCCCCCACATCGTGTCAAAAGTGAATGCACATTATTTGTGTTCGTGTACACACAAAATGGTTCAATGGTTAGTATCACTATAAAAACACCTTCAGTTTGGCTAAAATATAAAGAAAACGCACCTTTTCCCTTTGAGAAGAAATCGGTCACAAAGGATCGCGGTCTGTCGGAGAAGACGTCGGCGTTCTTGACAATGGCTTCTTTAATAACGTTGTAGCCGTTGAGGACGATGAGAGGCTTGTGGAAAACATACAGACTGAAAATGTCGCCATACTTCTGTCGGAAGTTCTTGAACAAGACCCGTGGATCAGATTCCAGGGATAGGGCGTTCCCCAAGAACGGAAGGAGAGGGGCCGGGGGCAGTCCAGGTGGAGCGCCGCATTGACAGCCATAACACTACCAGTACCACGACCAGAAATAAGGCAACTGTTGTAATTCCAAAATCCCACATCGTCGTCCGCTAGTTTCCAGCCTGTCTAAAACCTGATAGGAGAGAGCGAGACTGAGTACAGCTGTGGAGTGGCACATTCACACAACTGACGGATTTATAACACTGCCGGTTATCCATTTTACAGAGTGGAGTCAGCTAAAATAAGTGCATGTCATGCACATGTCTTGTACATGTGGAGTGGCCATGGTCTGCCTCCCAGACCCTGGAGAATAAAGTATGTGAGTAATAGATTGCCCCAGCATAGGCCCAACACACCTTCTGTATACCATAGGCTCCATGCACTGTAACCGAGACAGTCGTTCTACCGTGTTATAAGAGCGCCAGATAAACAATATTCATATTTAATTGATGATACTCTGTAAATGTCTCATATTTAGTATTATTAACTTGTCAGATAGGATGCTTAGTGTTATAGATTGTTCCAGCATTCCATGGTGCAAATAAACCCACGTGTACTTACAAAAGTAATACGTACATATACTCCTCACAAAAATTAAGCAACACAAATTTTTAGTCTCATTACATTATCATTTATCGAAATTGCAAATCATGGAATGATGCAATAGAAAGGTGACACATATGTACACACGATTAACAAAATGAAATGAAATGGTATTGAGAAAGCAACAATAGACTTACAAATCATCAAAAACATGTACCCGTGAAACAGTCGTGAAAAATGTGCTGCATTGATGTTAACGTTACAGTTGAAGTCAGTTGTGTACAGTGAAGCAGTGTTCAGTAACGCGTATGACCATCATGAGCACGAATCCAAGCTTCTACACGTCTTTCCATTGACCAAATGAGCCTTTAAAGTTGCTGTTGTGGAATGTTCTGCCATTCTCTCTGTAACGCCTGTTCATGTACATCCAGAGTCTTGGGGTGAACATGGAGACCGTAAATGTCCCAAGCTAAGATCAGGTGACCTTGCATGCCAGTCCACATGTGTGCTGTTGTTGATCTAAAAGCAACATCGTTAACAACTCTTTCTCAGACATTATCAACATCGTTAACAACTCTTTCTCAGGCATTATCATCCATGGACGGGCATTATCATCCATACTAATGAAGTTAGGACCCGCTTGTTGTACCAGAGGAATGATTACAGGTAGGTTTACATTGATCAGGGTGCATATGTGAAGAGTGGAGCACATTCATGCCACACATTTTGCATGTTGTTTCTGAGGGTGGTTGTGTTCGGGTGATGTTGTCAATGTTATCAGATAAATCAATTTGACAGTCACTAAAGGTTATGTATTCTTTGAATATTTACAATTCAGTAACATGTCAGCAAAAATCGCAATCGAGATTGATAAAGATATAACACTGAAAATACTTGTTGCTTATTTTTGTGTGAGAAGTGTATGTAGTCGTCACGATTGCACATCTGTCAAGATTATCAGCATCGAACGAGCCATTGGAATGTCGCAGACGGGGGCTTAGCAATAGATGTTTAAGTTGCGAGTTATACCTTCTTCAGACGTTCCAACACTCATCAGTCGTGAGTTCGAATCTCGTATTCCCAACCCCACATGAAGGCTGCAAAATGTAATACGCTATGGCTGCAACATGGAGTCAACTAGTATCACAGGCGGATCCAGCGAGGGGGGTGGAATGGGGGTGCAGGGGTGCGCACCCCCTCCCCCTTTTTTCCTGAATTTTTTATTAAATGACCATAGGAATGTGGCATAAAATGGAGCACCCCTCTTTCTCAAAAGTGTGCACCCCCTTTCTCAAAAGGCTGTATCCGCCCTGAGTATTATATCCACAGTACGCTGTCTTCATGTTACAATGGTTCGGTTGTATGTATAAGTTGGTGTTAATTTGTACGTTATATATATATAACAGAGTAGGTTGCATTCCGCGTGTTTAAATATTGTCTCTGTCGTTGTACATTCAGTTATTTTGATCTGCATTAAAGCCGCAGTTGGTTGCAATCTGCTTGATTAAGAAACAGTAGGTTTGTATCTGCGCATTTAATAACCACATCATATCTTCACCTCGTTCACCCCCCTTCCCCTCCATACACCCCACCCCCCGTCTCTGTGTGTGGTAGTTCACAATACAGACAGGTTGCCTAATATTTACACACACTATGCATGTCGCAGCAAGTAGGCTGTCACAACTCCAAAAGAACGTTTCGACCTAGCTTGGTTTGAGCACATTGAATCAGGTATTGGTGACATTGCATAATACCTCTAGAACAAAGGTCATTTTATAGGCCGGTTAAGAGTCATGGTGACCGCCGGGGAAACCCACATTTGAGAAAATAACGAAGCCACTATTTCAGGTACAAACCCCGTGCCGCGAATCGCCGCGAAAACCACAATGAGTAAGGAATCAATACCGTTTTTCAAATAAGCGTCACCAATTGATCACAATGGATTAAAATTGTTTCAGTGACTTGTCCTTTGTTTGTTTTAGTTAACATATGATGGGCGGCTTCTTTATTCTTGTTGGGGTTTTGGCTTACATGTGATAACATTAATCTTTTTATGTATATTTCGTTTTATTAATATTGCATTCTCTGGTTATATTGTAGATTGTGTTATCAGCTACTAGTTGAGGGGAGGTGTAAAATGTTTTGTATTATTTTAAATGTATGTGATAATCACCTGCAAGTTATGGATGTTCCATATACTAGAAAACGTTGCATAGGCCGTTTAGCATGAGCCTTTAGACTGCCTTCACATTGATGTAGATTACGTATCTGCATACACAGTCAGTATTATATGAATAAAGATTTTTCTCGTTCACAGATGTCCCATATACTGATAACAGCATGTGGAGGGTTATTTTAGAGGCGCGTTTAGGAGTCCATTAGACAAAAGCCCGTGTAACAAAGTTCACTGCTGTCTTTACTTTGACGCAGATAACACATATACGCTTTGGAATCAGTAATTGGGTAGTATGAACCTGGACTTCTTTGGTAAGCATTTTTTAGAAGTTTAGTTGATGAAGGAATGATGACAATTTTGGATATACAACCTCTTTATTCTGTGAAGGGCGATTTGTTGATTATAGATTTTAATAAATGTTGTCACAAGGATCACTGTTTGCAGCGAACTGACGATTATAAATCTATACCCTGGAGAAAGTTGCTAACTTCTGATGAATTTTTCAGTGATGAAAGTAAGAACCACATGAAATAATCTACCCAATGAGATGAGCTAAACGATTGTGATCTGTCTCGAACAACCCACAAACAACAAGGAGACAGCCACTTTAGTGAGTTGATATGATATTTAATTCATGATATTGTTGTGCTGAAACACGGGTGCTATTTTCACCCTGAAAACAATGCTACTTTAACGTATGGAGCTTTCGCAGAGTTCATGCCATTATAGAATTCTGCACATGCTTCATGAAAACATTTAACTTAAGGTCTGTAGATGACATCTGTATGTCAAAATGTTCAATGAAGTGGGGAGAACCCTCCATGAGCTTGAATGAGCCAGTTCCCAACCCTGCGTCGCATGCTTCCAGTCAGACGCCGCCGGATCAGCTCCCGGGGCAACTGCTGCCACTCCCTATGCAAGGCTGCTTCCAATTCACACGTAGATTCGCTACACTGGAGGTTCCAATGCCTTTATACGACCATGATTGTGTCCCAAATGTGCTCCAACGGAGTTCAGATCTGGACCCATTTTAAGGCCAAGGTGCAAAGTTAATAATTGCGTTGTTCTGGAGGGTAAGCAGTCATTGCCACTTGCCGAACGATGGGTCTGTCATTTATTCATTCATGAACTAAGGAGGTCTTGTGGTCAGTGGGTGGTTATGAAAATGGGGGACAAATAACTGGTTCCAGGACATTTCGGATGTACAGTTCACCTGTAAGGTTGCCTCTGCATGGTAAATCCAGGTCCCACTTGCTCAATCATGGGAGCAGAGCGGCTCATCTGACCAGTGGGGTACCATACATGTCACCAGATTCTACGCACGTCGAGCTAGACTGCATGCCAGCGGAGCCTGTGGTGGTCATCTGCCAGTGGGGCGTTTGATTACTCTTCTGGAACCTCAGGCCTACAGCTCTTACGCGATTTCCTGACGGTTCTGTCGGAAGACGGCTGATTTGGTATGCATTGTCGTTTCCAGGAGCTCGTTGCAGGCAGCACGACGTCGAACTAATCACCAGTGGTGCCCTGTTCACGGCGCTGTGATGTGTCACGGGGACGTCCCGATCATTGACAAGGTCCATAACGGAATGGGATTTTAGCATGGCTACTCATGATCGACTGAATGCACAGTAGTAGTGGTGAAGCCCAGTTGACTTAAAAGCTTTAATAAGACGTACAAGAATGAATTCCAATAATTTTGACATCTTTGTACCAGATATTCGCCTTCGTGCCATGTTAACAGGGAATGGTTCACAACTGTTTTATGTCAACCCAGGCTTGAATACCCATATATTTGATGCATGAACATACAGCATTTTGGGCGATGCATGGAAGGCATGCTGCACGTGCATGGCACGGCCAACTGTGACGTCAACATCATGCATCATCGGTCACCATTCTCATGATGGAACCACCATTCCTTGCCATCATCATTATTCCCCATACAGTTTGATTTTCATTATTGTAATATGTTCTGTAACTCGTTATATCAGGGGGGTGTTTACTTTTTCCTGGTGTCTATGTCAGAAACGTCGCCCTTCACCGAATAAAGAAGTTGTATATCGCATAAAAACTCATCATTTCTTCTATGAATCCGGGAGTTTCATTTACACTGACTGATTACAAACATTGTGCTGTTCATGTTTTTAATGTTTCTGTGATAGTATAGCTGCTCAAGAATTGTGGCCCAGTCTAATTCACTGCGTCTCTCTTGGAACACACCAGAG